CCACCCAAGGCCTGAAATTTCTTGTTGGGTGCGTAATGACTCCACTTTGCTTGATTGGTGCAAATTCCCCCCTCGTAAATTTTCCATTAATCAAATTACTAAAACCAATTGACAAGCACACCTGGGACACCCCGAAGCCCATGGGCAGTTAACCCTCCCATAAAGCAGTTAAAAATCCATCATCCAGTTCATTACATGGTGCGCAAGTAAGGGGCTGAATTTCTTACCTGCCCTGCACTTTGATGTCAGAGATGGCGTAGAAGTATCTGGACAAGTTGGTCTCGTCGACCATGGTAGCTCCCGTGGCAGGTCGCAGAAGGCGGATTCGCAGGTCCGTGATGGTGAAAAAGTCCCTTAGGTTCTTGGTGGTGTCCAGTTGGCCGTAAAGAGAGGCCATGTTGTGCAGCCGAGGCCCAGCGAACAGCGCAAAGCGGTCCTTGATCTCAAATCGTACGGTTTTGTCGTTCTTCCACACGTAACCCCGCGAGTAGTCCTCGGTGCAGATGATGTCCAGCAGGGTGTGCTGCGTCAGGTCCTGCACCGTCTTGGGCTCCATGGTGAAGGCGTCCAGACAGTCAGTAGCATAAAACTGGTAGGGTTGCCAGGTACGCCCGTAATCCAGCGACTTTTCCAGAACCATTATTTCGGGTCGGCCTGACTCGAAGGTGATGACGATATCATCTGTGAGCTCGATGGTCTTGTTCCACGATAGCGTGATATTGACCAGAAGAGCCTTCGGGTACTTTTTCCAAGACGTGGACTGCCAGAAGGTGGTAGGGTTTCGACCCTCAGTGTCAAACATGAGCTCTGGAGGGTGGGCCAGCTCCTCTGTGCTGGCATCACATTCGTTATTACACATATAAGGGTTTTCCTACAACACAGAGAGAGAGAGAGAGAAAAAGAGAATAAACAGACGGAAGAATTAAAAAAAAAAAAAAATTGTTTGCTAACAGCAGTTGATATTTTGACAGTTTAAGCCGGAATAGCAACCAATATAGCCCAGTAGGGTGCAACAATATAATGAGAAATATACAAAAATATACATTTCAATCCAGAGAAGGAGTAAAGCTTTCTTATTTTTTTTCTTTCAATTTTTAGTTGTGTGGACACTTTGTCCTTGTGAGGGACATTTTGCAGTTCCCCAGGTTTAAGATTTAATTCAGATCTATTTGTTATTAGTTTTAAAAAACAGCGTTATATATTTCTTATTGTAAGGGTCAGGGGCTAGTGATTGCAGTATGTTTAGCTAAGGTGCTAACAAAACAAAAATCAGTTTGTGTGTGTGTGAGTTGATGCAACAAAATAGGGAGAAACCAAAGTCTTCTTCCAGAACTTGAGAAAACTGTATAATCAGACAAATCTCTGGGAACGTAAACACAACACTTCAGTCAGCGATTGCGTCACCCTCGCCCGCCGTGGTGCAATCGAGACGCGTTTGTCGCAAGGTGCGTTTTCAACATCAAGGATTCTTATTGCTTCAAGCATCTTATCCAACTTTGAAATGTTGTTTTTGGAAACTATTTGTACACTTTGTACAAATACAGAAATATAGGAGAGCTATCACACTGCTTGATCCCTCCGTCGCTGCTCCTCCCTTAAAAATTTGACTTGTTTTTTTTTTTTTTTTTTTTTTTTTCCCCCAATACGGGCGCAGTCTTTCCAAAACATCTCTCTGATTTACCACAAATCATTACCAGGCAATGTTCTCTGCTCGCTCCCCGCGGGCTTGATCTAGCTGTCACGGGGAGGAGGCACTCCTTCAAGACGACCTTTCAAGTGATCCAACCTCCAATTTATCAGGACAAGATAATCCACTACCCGATTACTTGATTAGGTGGGAGATGTCACCGTGTGAGTGTGTGCACGTGTGTGTGTGTGTGTGTGTGAGGAAGCGATGGCCAGGAAACAGGGGGAAGAGAAGAGCCCCCCCCCCCCCCCCCCCGATGAAAGACAGCCTAATGAAGCGGCGAGGCAGGGAAGGAGTGCGTTCGAGGAGAGAGACAGGTCTATTTGGCTCATGCGCTTTGCAAGTTTTTCCATGTCCTTTAAGGCAAGGTGACAGTGGAACAGGGCTCTGTCAGGCCCTTTTGACTGTTGGAGGGCCCCCATTAATATCCTGTCTGGACCGTCCCCTACAGGCATCTCCCAGCACTGGGCAGCAGCGGCGGCTAGCAGGTAGGAGGCAGTGGAAATTTCCACTTGGGTTAGCCGCCACCGTCTCATGGCAGGAGGTTAGGTGTGCCATTAACTGCGGCATCTGGTGCGGCGTGTATTCACCGACAGATGTGTAATATCTCATATGCGACAGTTGGTTAGTCTCTGAAACCCACTTAACACGCACAATGGCCGACCGTGTGGCTGTACAACTGGATTAAGGGCTTTTAGCCTGTAATTTTTTGAAATTGATGTTGTTTTTTTTTTTTTCCTGCAGGCTACAGGTGTCTACATCGCGCCGTAGAGTACAACAATTCACATTTTTACACAGAAGTGACTACACGGGGGTCCTTGATTTGCGACGTGATTGTCCTACGGCATTCAGTGGTTATGTCGCCGTCTCTCATAAAATAAAGACAAGTCTTTTAAGGTGTTAAGCACGGGGGTCCTTGATTTGCGACGTGATCGTCCTACGGCATTCAGTGGTTATTTCGCCGTCTCTCATAAAATAAAGAAACGTCTTTTAAGGTGTTATATGTGGAAGACAACTTTGTTTACATCCGCCGGTTGCATGCAATACATCTCCCCCTCTTTCGTTTGTGTTGTTTTCTGATGTTTTTATGTCCTAGATTGTGATTATTTAGATTTAGACTTTCTTTACTGTCACTGCGCAAGTTTTTGGGAAACTTTTTGCCAATCATTATGGCTTGAAAGCGTAAGCCAGACTTTTCTGATGTTTTTATGTCCTAGATTATGATTATTTAGATGGCAACGAAGTGTCGTTGCTTGGCAACCGAAGTACACAGTACAAAGTACACAGCTTGTAGGCCATGAGTAACTACTCGAGGTATGGCGAAATTGTGCTAAATATAAACTATTGGTAATGTTATGGTAGCTGAATGACAGGTACTTATGTACAGTATGTGATTCCCAACATACATGGCTTTTTTTGAATGATTCCAGTTGGGCTACGAAAGTGTTCATACAAATACAACTGCATTTAAGTAAGTATTGTAAGAAAGAAATCTGATACTTCTTGCGAAAGCATTTTAGTGTCCAAAAAAAACAAAAAAAAAAAAAAAAACCCTTGCATTTTTTAAAAAAAAAAAAAAAAAGCATCGCATGTCGATGCTTATTTCATCAGGCAGATAAAATAATCATCGATCCCTGGGTCTCCCGTGCTCATACATAAACCTCCAGCCATCACAGGCCCCATCCCTGTAATCAGACAAAGATATATCAGTATCGATCCCGTGGCCAAGCTGCTGAAAATCTGCTGCGTGTAGCACCTGGCAACCTCGGCCGCTTGTCCCGCACTGCCCTGAACACACAGGTTAAAAAGCTTTCATTACTGTTTCTCCTAATGACAAAATACGGCCTTTATGAAGATCAATATACTCGCCGTTCTGCCTCCAAAAAAAAAAAAAAAAAAGAAGAAAGCTGATGATTTGCTGACCGTACAGCTTCATAAAACTGAGATTTTTTTTTTTTTGTGTGTGTTTTATCGTCGTCCGCGGTTGAGAGCTGACACACTCAATATGAATAACAGGAGCCCTGCGCAGTGATCATAACATCTCTGTCATGTGAATCAGAGTGAGGCGTTGATAGGTAACAGGTAGTAATGGGCCGCCGATGGCTTAAACCACACCGGCTTGACCCTATTACTACGGAGACGCAGTACTGCAGAGTCACAGCTAGGGGACTGGTGCGTACCAGCGTCCCATGTGCATGCAGGCAGATTTCACACAAATCATCAGTGAAGCTGCTCTAAATTCCTTTCCGCGTTGTCCCCATTATTGTTAAACTGTTCCGACTAATTTTACCTGCCAGCGAGAGGAGTAAAAATCAACAGTGCAGCAACTTAGAGGACAATGAATTTGTCTAATTCCACGCAGCTGCGCTCCGGCAGTCCGGCGCTATTTGTAGTCTCTGGGTCACGGAGAAGTGTTCCTTCGCTTTGACGCGCGAAAACGCGAGTTAAACGCACGATTAGCTCAAACCAATAGTTTACATTGCTTTTCTTGCCGATTAGCTCAAACCAATAGTTTACATTTTACTTTTCTAGCTCTTCAGGCATAACGCACGACAACAAATAAAAAAAAATAAAAAAAAATGAAAAGATCTCAATAGCTCTCCACACAGAGTAACGCTGAGACTTGAGATCAGACCTTACAGCTGTCAACCTTGACCAATGGAGAATGAGACCTGGGGATGTATAAACTACAAACGACAACCAACCATCCTTGGCATCAACCAATCAAAGTGATCATTCAGTTTGACAGATGTGTTTGTGTACTTGTAACCCAGATAGTGGTAACGTCTTTGTTCTGCCATTTTCTGTCCTGCTTCTTATTTTTAGATCTTTGTTTAAAACTTGTGAAAACTCGTTTTATCTTGAATGAAGAAGTGGACACACATAAGGAGCTTAGCAATAGGCCGGAACTACAAAGGAGTAACAAATACGCAACATAACATGATTAAATAAGCAGCTACTGCTTGTGGCAAAAAAAAACAAAAAAAAAGAAAAGAAAAAACGTTTGTCTCGTTTTTAGTTCTTTAGCCCAGTGGTTTGTCAGTGGGGGCCACCAGGGGGCGCAAGATGGACCTCGGAAAACTGGAATGAGAAAAAAAAAAAATGCAAACCAATTGTTATTTTTTTTATAGCCATTTGTACCGAACCGTTCAACACCTAAACTGCCGTCATCGTTGGATTCTCAATTTCCAATGGTACCTGTTCCCTACGCTAGCGTGGAGCTAGCTAGCGCAAAACAAGACAGGTTTTTGACAGTGCTGAAAACACGTTTGTTAAGAATGTTCTTATGCAAAACAAATGTAACATTTATTGAATGGTGCATAAGAGTAAGAAAAATACATTCTAAGAGTTAATGTTTCTTTAGCATTATCTGCAAAGGCGGGGGGGCAGCAACCAGATGCTAATGCTGCTTTAGACTAAACTCGGTGTTTATGTATGTGTGAGTGTGACAAAGAGGTGGGGGGGCTTAAGCTCTCCCTGCTGCATTAATACAACCTGTTCTTAAATAGATTTCTTCACCTCCAGCCAGCAGCATGACTGAAGCATTTCAACACCCCAGATTTTTATTTTTTTTCTCTCTCTCGCTCTCTGTTGCTCTTCTGTCTCCACCTCTTCTTCCTTTTCTCTCTCTCTCTCTTTTTTTTAACCTCCTCTGTCTTTCTCTCCTTTTCCCCCCACCCTGTTTGGTGGTTGCCCTCATCTCTCACATCATGGGTGGAGCAGACAGTTCAACCCAGACGTGGAAGGAATACTGGATGCCACTGTGACAGATTACAATGGTAATAGACACCCGGTCCGAATCCCTGCGCAAGGATTACGATCGCATTTTCTTATGGTTCGGGGTTAGACGGAGGTCAAACTGCGGGGCTCATGGGTCATGGGAGCTAAACACACACACGTCCCCAAGTCACAGTCGTCCGATCTGTGTACGACGGGAGTAGCTATTCTGTGGTATCGATATATCATTACTTACACGAGCACTCGAGATAAAGTAGCGATACAGACGAATAAAGTAACGTAAAATTGAACTGATCCATTGTCATGTCATGTGACCGCTGACCGGAAGATAATTAGAACATTGTTTCCCAAAGACTGGGTCGGGACCCTCAGGTGGGTCGCAAGAGCTGTCTCCATCCAACCTCAAAATCAAAAGCTGCCAGTTTAAAAACGACACCATTAAAACT